CTCGTGTTTTCCGGTCGTGTGACAACCCTAATTCTAGCTAAATCGTATGTATGTGATGATTTATATCATCCTCAGTTGTATTTACGTCAGGCGCGACAAATATATGGATATGACAGGCGTGGCAGCTTTTAAACCGCCTGAAGCGAACGTACCGCACTGTATGCGGTTATGTGTACAATGACTTTACAGTTTACCACCAGACTGAAGCCAAAGAATAATGATATCTAGAATATTAAATATAATACACTAGTATTTTCCCACTACTTTGTACGAGTGCATTTTAGAAGTAAGAAAACCATTTAAATGGATCGTTCCTAAGATAAAACGTAAACCAGATTTTCAGTTGGACCTTCCGGAACAGAACTGTGAAGACTGCATTCAATTTGATGTAGTAGTTTATGCGTGATACTGACGAATAGACAGATGAGCAGACAGATATATAGACAAAATTTTAAAAAATTATGTTTTTGGTTTCTTATGCTCTTATTTAGACAATGCATATCATTTTTTCTTAATTTTCCTGTAAAGACAAGAAATACATCGTTTACAATTTTATTATATTCGTAAAAATATACTAGCTATTATCGACGACTTCGTTCACGCGACTGGAACATGTTCTCTGAGATAAAAAGTAGTGTATGCTTTTCTTTATCTTATATAGCACGTGTATTTCAAATTTTATTGTAATTAGTTAAGTCACTAAAATACTAACTGGACTTCACATTTAGTATGAATTTATTTATATGATAGATAATAATTTATTTGTTCTATTTACAGTACACAAATAACAACATACACAGATGAAGATGCATAAAATGAGAAGAAAATACAAAAAAAGGAAAATATACAAAAATAACTTACTCTTTTCTGTGCGTTTGATTTCAAAAGGAAAAACACTAATTTTTTATTGTAGCCAAATCGTAAATGTTTTATTATTTACTAGCGGCCCGTCCCGGCTTCGCACGGGTGGACATTTTTACAATTTAAAAAGTGGTCATTAAGGCTGCACACGCGACGGAAGCTTAAAAATGGAGTAACTTCTCCCGTTTTCCCAACATTTCCCTTTACTGATCTGCTCCTATTGATCGTAGCGTGATGAAAAGTATACTATAACCTGCCCAGGAGTATAAAGAATAATTGTACCAAGTTTTGTTAAAATTCGTCGAGTAGTTTTTGTTTCTATAACGAAAATACAGACAGAGAGACAAAAATTTTACTGATTGCATTTTTGGCATCAGTATCGATCACTAATCACCCCCTGGTAGTTTTTTTGGAAATATATTTCATGTACAGAATTGACCTCTCTACAGATTTTTTATAAGTATAGATAATAGTAAATATTTAAATATGGACTAAATAATATAATATAAGGGCTAATGGTGAAGCATTGGAATATTAATATTTAGAATTATATATGTGTTAAATGTTGGGTAAAATTATAAGGAAATACGATAGGACCTTATATATTTAGCCGTAAGAGGAATTACCAATTTAATCTGTGAGTAATGAAAATGACTATATTTGGAGTTTCGTTAGACGTTAGAATTATAGTTAAATAACTGAAAGGAATGACATAGTCTTTAGATCATCGACAAACTGGAATGATAATGGACCATCAATATGGTTAGAAAATTCAACATCTGATGGAAATTTCTCAAGTGTTGTTCTGAAGTTTAATAAACAAAAGTGGTATTTGGCGCATATTGCTCATCATCTCTCCCCTCATAAAATGTCCTCCAACGTTTCACGGATCAAAGAACTCAAATATGCGTTGCAGTGAGACAGTGGACGTAGGTGGCTCTAAATCATTTCCTGTATTTTTATAGCAGAGCCATTTGTTATAAAGAGAAAAGATTCGTTCTTTTGTATGTTTATTTGTTTGTAATAGATAAATTCAAAAACTATTCAATCGATTTTAAAAATTCTTTCATCTATAGAAAGCTACATGGTTAGCGAGTAACATACAATAGGTTATATATTATTAAAAAAATATATATATATCCTACAAAAAAAAAAAAACATTAATGTAACCACAATATCAAAAATTTACATATTAATGTTAATACAAGTATAAAATTATAACATATCTGTCTATTTATCTGTCTATGCGAAGCCAGAGCGGACGGTTAGTTGTGTAATAAATATTTAAACATCTTTATTTTTTGTATATTTACTGTATATAAACATATATATCATACAACTTAAACAATATTAGTAAAAAAAGTAGACATTGTTTTGCAAAAACCGACAATTTCACTGTGACAAAGTTGATATGGGTCTGACATGGATTGCACAAAATTTAACAAAATAGGCTCAATATTGCTCAAGATATCACACATTATACACACAAACAAATGCTTCTGAGATTGAGATTTAACTTTTAAAAGCCGCTTACAAATAAGGTTAATATTAGCATATTATAATTAATAGTACTAAAATACAGTATGGACATTCCTTGCCGCTCTCTGCAATCTGACTCACCCTCTCTCAAATACGCGTCAGTGCTCATATACCATATTAGTGGATGACACTAGTTTATATTTTAGTTACCCGCTAATGTCAGAAAAGGACAAAGGATAATGCTGTGTATTAATAATGATCTATGTGTTATTATCACAATAAATAATCTATGCTGTCACAGATATTATTTTTTACAGATCTATTTTTTTCAACGCGCCACCTATCTATTTATGCTTAAATTCCTTCTACTCAAAGGTTGTCTGGAAGAGATTGCTTAGCAATAAGACCGCCTTTTGTACTACACTATACGTATTGAAAATTGTTCAACAAATCCTGTTATGTTGGTGCAATTAAGTGTTAAATAAATAAATAAATATTTATGAGGTAATTTTAATCATTATCATTATCACAACAGCCTTTAACTGTCCACTGCAAACTTTGGACGTAGAGGGCTATGCAAGTAGTTGTCACGCTTGGTAGGCGGATTGGCAACTACAGTCAGGCTCTAAAGATGTTTTAAGAGGGTCGTTGCTGCTCATCCCTCGCCCACCCTTAGTCGCCTCTTACGACACCCACGGAAATGGAGGGGGTGGTCTATTCTATGCCGGGACCACACGGTAATTGTAATATTTACTATATTATATACGTAAATACTATATACTTATATAAATATAATATTAGTTAGTTTCAACTACTTTTAAATTTACATTCCCTTTCTTTTCCCGTGAGTATTGTAAAAAAGAAATTTAATGGCCGAGAAATGTGCAGCAGCGTCTCTCTTAAAACATCAGGAAACTCTAACAGCAGTTGCCAACTAATCTATCAAGCGTGTCTACTGGCAAAACTTCCCTTATGAGGGACGCCTATGTTTAGCAGTGGACTGTTAATAATTGATGTGACATGATAATTCTTAATTTTTAACGGAATTAATTATTTAATGTTTATTTAAAATTTAAAATGCGCATTCTATTATCGTTGTGTCGCTACTAACCTTGCATTTTTGGAAGCGACCACTTGGACAATTAACAAAATAATAATATATAATAGCCCGCCTAATTAAAAATGATAACTACGTTTTATGGATATGGAAACTATTTCATTGTTGCAATAGGTTATCGAAAATTTTTATACTTAGATGTGTTAACTAAATTGTGACTAAATATGTGAAAAATATATTTATTTATATATATAGTGTGTCAATTGAAGTACACATTTGTTTTTATTCCAAAAGATTCGTAAATTATTTTACAACGAACGCTGTGCAGCTTTTTCAAAGTCACAGCTTCAATTCACATTCTACAGTATATCGAAGCGCCAGTTTTTTTTCTGCGTTAAACCTGACTATAAGCACACATTATCAATAATACAGACGTTAATTGTTTTTATAGTTGTGACAATCATGATATAAGAGAGTTTGCCAATAGGTACATAAATCTATCTAATATATATTATATTAACTGTAATTTGACCTCGAGAAGCTTCAACTTAACATATTGTGGATTTATCCGATGTTGTATACTTACGAATCCCTCCCTAAATTGAATTTAATAACAGAATGTTGTTTCTTGGCGTAAGACTAGCAATATTGGAATCTCAAACTCCCATCAAATACAAATATATGATTTATTATTCGCAATAGGATTTATTATAGATATGTGGATGAAATATATGGGATATGAAATGGTATGTCATTGTAATATATACATATATATATTCTTTGTTGCACTTAAAGAAAAGATATAGCGATTAGTTTAACAACTTGTTAGCAGGGGTGGGCTTATCTCGAAAAGAGATCTCTTCCAGCCAACCCAAATATATATTCGTAATATACCAAAATTGCTCTTCCAATGTGTGTGTTACTATGTGCAAATGTTTATACAATATCATTGCCAAATTACTTTTTTGTTATTATACAATACCGTTTGCCCGCAGCTTCATACACGTGGATTTTGGAAGTGGGAATACTATTAAAATAGATCTATTTTAGATGGTGTATTAAGTAAAAACGTTTATAACATACATCTTGTATATACTATATTTTAGCTTCGATATTTAGGAGTAAAACTGTAAAAACCGTATCCAATGTGGTGCAGTAGTTTTTGACGCCAGAACAAATATATAGACAGTCAAAAATTCTAAAAAAATATAATTTTGGCTTCTATTGTTCTTATTAAGAATTCTTTTGTTCTTTTAGTTGCAATTTTATATATATAAGCACAGTAATGTAGTCTTATTACCGAAAGTTAATCTCAAATAACAGATCAAAATATTAGACAACTAACAATCAACTAAGATGCCCTATATGAAGAACCCCTAAGTTTTTAACCAGCAAAATAGAAAATGGGCACAAGTAAACATCTAATCAGTCACAGTATTTTTCGCCTCCAGCATCCTGGCACAAAGGAAAAGGTGCATTCACATCGAAAGCTTTTCTTCGTTCAACTATGCTTTCTACCCCATATTATCTTCGTTCCGAACCATGCGCATTACTCCCATTTAGTCCCGAGAAGTTACGTGTGACTCCAGTCCATTCTGTGAGACTCGATCGCGTAGCCGCATGGAGGGCGCGGTATGAACGCAACTTCGGACGTAGACGTTTAGAATACTTCGAAATTTGAATTTAGAACAATCCAACTGTAAATACTGTTTACGAGTATAAACAGGATATTCCATATTTGAAATTTGAAAATGTTTATAAGTGGTGTTTGTGCAAAAAATGTGAAAAAGTTTTTTCCAGTAAAACTTTTTGTTGACAAAGTTTCAGTAGACTTTTATACATATAAGATGTAATTAATATTACGGTACTTTTGCGTTATTTTACCAGAAAGTTAATTAGCTTTCGATGATTTATGATGTGGACGCGACAGCACGGAAAATTTTAATCTCTCGTTATTGACAAGGCTTTTGGTGAGTAAACATGAAAATGAAAATACTAAATATCATTTGTATTTACGAATAGTTATATTATTGTCGATATATATTGATTTTAATAAATAATTATATTAATATAATTTTAAATTCAATCTTGATGCATTAGAAAAAATATTATTATATATTTACGTGATAAATTTTAAATGTTAGGATATTTTTTTATATATTTATATATTTTAATTTTAATTAATTTAAATATATAATATTTTCTGTTATAATTACTACAATAAATATTATGACAATAACTGATAAAATTACTATAAAAATTATGCAAGAATTTTTTTATATAAATTTCTTGTGCACAGTAAATTTAGGTTTTAAACAAGAAATTATGTAAAAAATGTTATTAATCACGATAAATACATGAAGATTTAAGGTATTAAATAACATTTTTGAATTTTTAAAGTATTTAGAAATATTATGCATGCACATAGATAAAATACATTTTTTTATGGTATGGTCAATGTAGTTCAGGTGTTAGTAATGCACCTATTATGTTATATGCTTGTATGCAATCTTCGTGGTATATCGAGTTGAGTTCTGTATTTTTTCTTTCATGAGTGAAAATAAAATGGTAACTGCGTTGATGCTATCAGTATACACTGCCGGGGCACTAGTGAATAATGACAGGCGAGGATGAAAGTAGATCAGTTAGCCCATCCTGACGAATTCGAGAATTAACTATGATAGTTTTCAGGAAGAAATGCGTGGAGTTCGACCTGATTTACACCCTGTAAACCAGGTCAACCTCCACGCATTTGCAATGTATTGCTAGCAATGGGCTGTTAGACCCCATTATGTATAATTCCGTTCACTCTAGAGTTTTCTAGTATAAATCATAAAATGAAGTAAGTATCTAAAAGAACACATACAAAAGAGTAATCTAAACACCATTAATGATTATTACATAAGATTTCATGTAATTTTGTTATACAGAATTAAAGATTCGCAAGAGCGAATCTGCGGAGAATGACTAGTACCTCAATAAAACACTCAAGCTTCTTTCATTACAGTCCTAAATTGAGGCACTGTGATCTTTTATTATCGAAGGGAAGCGTATGTCAGTTTTGTACTTTTCATAGCCGAAACCGTCAGTCGGAAATATTTTGTTTGATCGTTCTCTGACAGATATGTATTTATTATCAGGGAAAAGCTTTTAAGAATAAATTCACACATTTCAGGTACAGTTTTGTTGTTAAAAGACTCAAATAATGAACGTATTGGATTTACAGAGATGGCAATTTTTTTTAACAACGTACTAACATTATAAATAGGTAAATTGATAAGTTTGGATGTTCGGGGTAATCTTTTTTTTATACAACTTAGAATGGCAAACAAGCTGACGGCCCACCTGATGGAAAGTGGTAACCGTCGCCTATAGACATGAGCAGTACCATGAACATAACAGAGTATACTGTTTCGCCCATGATACCCCCCATGCGTTGCTATTCCTGAGGACACAGATGTTATTCCTCTGTACTCTGTATATTCACGCCATTTCCCACCTTTCAAACCGAAACACAGCCATGCAAACACAACTGCTTCACGGTAGAAACACAAATGGAACAGAGGTACCCAAGCAATCGACCTTTGTATAAAGTCTCCCTCTGGTAAAATCTCGAGTACTATTTTTTTAGATTTCGAAAATTTTTTCACTGACAAAAAGGTATATTATCTCTGAATGCTATAAATCACTACTATGTTAACATGTCCACATCAAATTTATGAATGAATCATTTATTTAAAAATTTAAAAGAATACTTTCATACGCGTCTAAATATTAGCCTTATTAAAATGTGTTGGACGGTTTAAAAGTTTTTTTTTTTATACAACTTAGAATGGCAAACAACCTGACAAGTTATATTGCAACACAAATATTGCAACCGTGTGAAATCGGGGCGGATCGCTAGTTTATAATAATCCTTACTAAAATTATAAAGCGTTTGAATAGTTTAATCAGTTATTATGAAGTTCCGTATACCCGTACTATATATATATATATATAAACATACAGATACTTAATAGCAAGCAGGAGAGAATATAAGTGGAAGATGAAGAGAGAACATGGAAAAATAATACTTAGAGGGAGAGATAGTAGGACTATAATAATATAATAATTTTAATAATATTTCTTCGCATATTTGAAAAACTTCAGGGCTTTTATTCGTTTTTAAAACTGTAGACAACGTTTATATTCCTTCACACCAACTTTCCGTTTTAAAATTCATAATCCGTTTTCAGGCGTTTGCGGATACGAATACTGATTGCATTATTCGACCACAATAAAAATCTGATTCTACTATAGATAGGTTAAGAGTATATATCTATACTCTAATGGTATAGATATAGGAATACAGATAACTAGTCTTTGCCCGTGACTTTATTTGTGTGACCGAGATATATTTACTGCCCGAGATAAAAAGTAGCATATGTCTTTCTCCATCCCATATAGCATGTGTATCCAAATTTCATGGCGGTGGGTTAAGGCGTAATAAGGTAATATATGAACAAACAAACTCACTTTCACATTTATAATATTAGTAAGGGTTATAAGTAATGCAATAATTCACCAGAGGGAGACTTTGTACAAAAGTCGATTGCATGGATACCTCTGTCCCATTCATGTTTCAACCATGAAGCAGTTGTGTTTGCATAGCTGTGTTTCATACACAGGTGGATTATATTAAATAAATTCGAAAAACTTGGATTTTTACTAGCTATATCCTGCGGCTTCGCTCGTGCGGATCAGTAAGTGCAAAAAGTGTTACGCTAAATTAAAATATAATCCACCTGTGTATGGCTCATTCGAATCCATTCAGTAGTTTTTATATGAAAGAGTAATTAATATCCATCTATCCATACATTCCAGCAAACTTTCGTAATAATAATATCAACAATAAGATCAGTACCTACCTATTGATTTATTATCGAACATTCTGAATGTTTCCAAAAGAAAAGGAAACAGTACCATTCTATGCTGGGACTACGCGGCAAGGGATCATGGCATCCTTATAAATGCAGCTTAATAATTGTTATATTGTGTCATTATTGTTATAGGACATGTACCGATCAATAATGCTCTTTTAACATCCCCTTAAATGTTTCTATCATTTGGTTGTAACAGAATTAATAATTATTAATTATCAATTCAATAACATAATATACATTTCGGACATGAACTGTTCGCGTATCAAATTCCCGTCGTATCTGTTTAATCATTATGTAACAAATATTCAATACCTTCACAGACTATCAGGTTCACAATATTAGATAATGTAGGTAATATAATAATGTTCTCATATATTAAATTAATAATTATTATAAAGCATGAATTCAATGTGTTACAATTCCATTTCGTTCCTAAGATGCCCTTAACTGGGACTAAATGAACAAAATATAGCAGTGCAAGAAAAAATTGTCGAAATAATACCTTATATCTTATCTTAGAAAGACTCATAACTTTTGCTTACTTTAATGTGGCAATGTTAGCTGTGTAGGTCCTAGCATAGAATAGGTCACCACTTCCTTTTCCGATTGGGTGTCGTAAGAGGCGGCTATAGGATCTTATGGAGGAGGGATGGGCAACAGCGTTCCTCATAAAACATCACCAAAAACTAAACTGTGGTTGCCAATCCGCTTGCCAAGCGTGGCAATTATTGGCAAAACCCCCCTTATGGGGGATGCTATGTTCAGCAGTGGACAGTTAACGGATGATACAACAACGTGACAACGCCGCAATAATTTATCAATTTCCAAAAACATTTGGTGAATTTTCAATGTCTCTGATTGAATATTTAAAAAGTGCTCTGCTTACGAACTAAAGCGTTAATCATAAAATACGTTGCATATAAATTTGTTATTTTTTTAAGCAACTTAGAATAGCAAACATGCTGACAACCCAACTCATGGAAAGTGGTAGCCGTCGCCTATAGATATAAGCGGTACCATGGACATAACATAGTATACTATTTCGCCCATGATACCTCTCATGCGTGGTCATTCCTGAGAATTCAGGTGTTATTCCTCTGTACCCTGTAAATTCACTGCCATATCCCACCCTTCAAATCGAAACACAGTCATGCTAACACAACTACTTCACGTTGGAAACTCGAATAGGACAGAGGTGCCCAAGCAAACGTTTTTTGTACAAAGTCTCCATCTGGTACATTAAACACTTTGCACCGACCTCACACTTAGGTTTGAAATTTTCCAAATACATTTTTGCCATCAAAATTAAAATTTTCATCGACATATTATTGCATGATTATTGTTTTAATTCATAGGCAGAGCACGTTTTGAATAATTAATCAAAAACATTGAGAATTTTTAAATTGTTTTTGAATATTGACAGATAATAGCGTCGATGCTACACTTAGTTATTTATCGCTCTTAATGTTTCATATAAAATATTCTGTTTTTTCCTAAAGTTGACTGGAGAGAATGCACGCGACTTGGCCACTCATTGTATATAATACAAAACTAAAACGCGGACAGTTTTAGTTTTGTATTATGTACAATGAGTGGCCATTAAAGTTTTAAACAAATACATAGATGATTTTTCTGTTTATGAATATGAATATATCTGGTTGTTTCTAAAAACTTAGTTATATTCCACTACCTATTCTTATAATAATTTAGTTCATATATATTAGACTACTAGTAATAATATTCTACCTAATAAGCCCCATTTACATACCACCAGAGGGAGACTTTGTACAAAAGTCGATTGCTTGGGTACCTCTGTCCCATTCGTGTTTCAACCGTGAAGCAGTTGTATTTGCATGGATGTGTTTCGGTTTGAAGGGTGGGATATGGCGTGAATTTACTGGGTACAGAGGAATAACACCTGAGTCCTCAGGGCGAAACAGCATACTCTGTTATGTCCATGGTACTGCTCATGTCTATAGGCGACGGTTACCACTTTCCATCAGGTGGGCCATCAGCTTGTTTGCCATTCTGAGTTGTATAAAAAAACA